GGTTTAAAGAAGTATCAAGAATACAGTTTCAATTTGTTCATCCTCATCCAGTCCATTACTGCCTCCAGGCATTGGTTCAGGCACAGCACAATTTCCTTGGCAGTTTCTGGTGGAAAGAGTAGTAGAGTTGGGCATCATCTGCATACAGACAATACTGAACTCCAAAACTCTGGATGATCTCTTCCAGTGGTTTTATGTAGATGTTAAATAATATTAGGGAAAGTGATGAGCCCTGCAGGACCCCACAGTCTAATTGCCATGGGGTTGAGCAGGACTCTCCCAAAACCACCTTCTGGCTGTGATCCATGAGAAAGGACTGGAACCACTGTAAAACAGTGCCTCTCAGTCCTATGCCCATTAGTCGCTCCAGAAGGATACCATGGTTGATGGTATCGAACACCACTGAGAGGCCCAGGAGAACCAAATAGGTTACACTACCCTTATCTAGTTCTCCACGTAGATAATCCACCAAGGTGACCAAAGCCATTTCTGTTTCGCCTGAAGCCAAATTGAAATGAGCTAAGGAGGCAAAGATGCAGAGTTCAATCCTTAAATGTAGTTAAACTTCAACAATGGCTAGAAACCAGTCTTAAAAATAAAGCAATGTTTATGCCTGGTAGAAATGAAAGCTACATTATTTCTAACTATCTTATCACATAAGGCAGGCAAACCACAATTTCAAAAGGACAACAGTGTCTTTGGCTAGGACTTATCACTTGGTGTTGCTCCTCCCCCTGCCAGTCTTCCAATGGGAGACAACCTAGAAAGCGTTTCTTTTAAAAACACAGATCTGTAAATTACCTCCTTTAGTAAAAGAAACATCTTCCACTAGTCTCCTACCAGGGAAACAACAGAAGAGAAACAACGCCATATGAGAAGTCCTGCTGATGTCCTACTGTACTTGCAGTCTTGGGCTTTTGCAGTATTCTATGATCCACAGAACATGTTCATGTATGGACAAACAACCGTCCTCCGTACACAAAATCATATCAGGCTAAATCCAATGTTACATAGGTAGCTTCTGTTTGCTCAACAAGAGCATCACATCCCTTCAATCTGATGAGTCCCCCAATCCTGCAAAATAGATTTTGGACGTAGGCAAGAAGACATCAGATCCACCAGCACTTCTTTTTCTGTTGGTAAAGGGATTCTGTCAGATGCAACCTACTGGGTTTTTGCCATGGTATGGAAATGTTAAATTAGTGCATAGAATTTCACTAAAACTTCACTAAAACATATAGACATTTGGAACAATTAGGGGACTTTATCACACCAACACAGATGAACCAGATCGCACTCCTACTCTTAGCAAATAAAATAATGTGCTTTGACTCATCACACGGCAGATGGCCAACTCCTCCCAATCTATACAATGTGCACCTATGTCACTGTCTTCTCCTTTGGGGGGGGGGGGGCTATTGTGAAACTCCACAGCTTTTGAGCCAAATTCAAACCTAGAAAAGTACCAGTTTGCCTTAAGTATCTACACAGCGGCCCAAACAGAAAGATATAAACCTGGAGAGGAAAATCTGACTATAGGTTGAGGAAAGTACATCTTTTAGCAGTCCATATTACACCTCCTTTTACTGCCACAAAGTTTCTTTTGTTTCTAGTTCTCGTTGTCTTCATCCCTCTGCATTTGAGTCAGGCTGTTTACTCACAGCTTGACACCAAGGGAGCCACTGAGAACACAGAAAAAACTCTTTCCATTCAGTAGTGCTAAAGCAACCCACTCAAAGTGGGCAGAACAACCTCAGGAAACAGCTTAGTAGCTTTTCTAACACTGGGACCTCTATGTATGTGACATTTCAGAAAAAGCTCAAAGATTACTGTGTTGGGTTGCAATGCAGAGAAGCTACAAAAGTGTGAATATATTCCTTTCTAAACTGCAGGAGTAATATGTATAGTTATTTTATTTATTGCATCAAGAGCAAACCAAGGATACACTTTTCATGTATTTTTAAAAAACACAAAGTTTAGGGACTTAGTATTATATTAAATGTCCTTTGTATGTCTAGTAAAAAGAGTTATTTTAAATTAAAGCTTCAAAGAGTTTTTACACTTAGAAGGATGCTATGCTTTCATTTTTTTAATTTAAAAAACTTCTTATGAGGGGAAGACACTTTTGTTGAATTTACCCACTTTTGCTATGAATCTTTCTATGGTGAAAGGGGAAATGGCTTCATTAGAAATGCTGATGAGAAATGGCTTCATCAGAAATGCTAGGAGCCTCTGGTGGTGCAATGAGTTAAACCCTTGTGCTGGCAGGACTGCTGAACAATAGGTCAGCAGTTCGAATCCGAGGAGAGTGGGTTGAGCTCCCTTTGTCAGCTCCAGTTTCCATGTGGGAACATGAGAAAAGCCTTCCACAAGGATGGTAAAACCTCAAACATTTGGGCGTTGCCTGAGCAATGTCCTTGCAGACAGGGGGAAGGAAAAGGGAAGGGAGAAAAATAATATAACAGCACACTTAAGGCTAACTGGTTGTTGTTTTTTTTAACATGAGCTTTCATGTATATAAATCCCCTTCTTCAGATGCTGTACACAGTAATAATAAATGCTCAAGTGTAAAACATATGTGCATAGAAGTGGCATGGAATAAAATACACAGAAATATGTAAATCCTAACTCTTGCCCTAAATTTGCCAACAATTGCACAGAAAAGGCTAATCAGCTGCAGAGAGACCCTGAAAGGAACTCCTGCTTTGAGCCTTCAGACTCAATTTGAAAGACTTAATGACAGGTACCAATGAAGTAAATCAGACAGATTTTGCTCTAATGCCATTACAAAACATTTTGCTGCCTGAGGCCAAACAGTAAATGGTTTTTGCTAATCAGGCTGAAGAGGGAATGAAAGAGAGAGAGAGAGAGAATATCGAATCAAAACAGGATACTGCTAATGCCTACATTAATACAATTAATATTTATTATTTATTATTTGCTTCATTTATACCCCACCTTTCCCACCCTTGTATGGTAATACCCAAATGGTGCATAATATTCAAGCAAACTTTATTTGGCACAAGAGGTAGAAAATCCCACGAGTAACTCTTTTCATCACTACTAGTAAATGTTCAACATTCATAGATTAAACAACTGAAAAGATGCTAACCTTTAGGGCACTGAATTTACTGCTTGAGCTGGCTGTATCACTCTATCTAATGAAAGAGCCAAATCCACACTGTCCTTAACTCTGTGAAACAATAGATCACTTATCCTCTTCCAAGTAATTCTCTCTCTTTTTCTAATTGTTGCAGAAAGGATTTGTTGCAGAAAGATTTATTGAGGGCACAAAAAGGAGGTATCACCTAAGGCATACATGGGTGATCGACCAAGGGAAAGAGGATAGAGAAAAAGGTATTTTTAGAAGGGGAAATATTAATTGCAGCTTGCTGGCTCATTCTAAGCAATGATGTGATTATCAACTATTCCCAGGGCATTTTGTCCCCCACAAACAGCACATGTTTTTTTTATAGAACTAGAAGGTTGCATCAAAAACTGCATTTGCCTAGCAACTTGATAATGTGCCTTTCTACTTAGAAAATATTATTTTTCTTTTGCAAACATCATCCAGATTGCAAGTTGCAATTTAGCAAGAGCTGGACATTTCAAATGCAAACACCCTTCTGTGTAAAGAAGGGGCTTTATAACATAAAATAATTCGACCAATTCTTAAAGGCAGGCAGATGAAGTTGTTTGGGCTCTTTTCAAAGCAACAGTCTAGCAAGAAATTATATATCTCCAAGTCTTCAGCTATATTCAAATTGGTCATACTAGTCCATGAGGGTCAGTGAGGCTAAGAATTTATATGCAAATGTGTATCTGCAGAACTGATATGAATCCCATAATCCTATCTTACAAAACTCTCCCTTTTGTGGGTTTGTTTGTTTGTTTGTTTTGCTTCCTTACTATCCACATTTTGACGTCTTTTAAACTGAAGCTTCTTCTAAAAGTGAGAGGGGAGCACGAGAGGAAAACCACAAACCTCAGTTTACTAGAGGCTATTTCAGTGCAAATACAAACACTTAACAGTACACTGAGGTTAACTGTTGCCTCGGGTAGTAATAAGAGAATATATTGCTTAAGTTTTGGGTGGTTTTTTTGGGGGAGGAGGGGGAAACCCCCTCCTTTTCCAAACATTGAGCATGTGAGACTATTCTGGATTTATTCCTGGAGATACCATTTATTATTTACTTATTCTTAATTGTTAAGAATGAAAAAATTGGCAGGCATGACTGTGAAAATCTGGGCCTCAGTGGAATACATTCCACTGTCTGCTTGAACTGCTGCCTTCAACAATTACTGTTTTCTTAAGTTGGAAACTCACATGAGATACAAGAAGCTGCATGTAAGAGCAACTGGTAGTCTTCTTTTTTTTACTATTCTCAGTGCCAGCTTTGAAATGAGAAACTAAAAGGTCTGAACAGGACTATTTTGTTTCTAAAATTAAAATTACTATCAATAGCTGAAAGCCAACATGAGCAGGAAATAGTGGATAATATGCATGGTGTCCTTTTATCCCACATCCTTTGTCAACTTTTGCATATGCTATACTGGTCATTTTCTAGTGAGAGGCATTTCGGATATAGCTTTTCTTAATCAATAGACTGTATCCATGTAAAACAGAGTGCTAGGAAGTTCCCCCACCCACCTGTTTCCGTCTCAAAGTGCAAGTCTGGTTTAAATTTTACATATTCTTAGCAAAATGGTTTCTCCCTACCTGCATCAAAAAGTTTAGCCAAACCTCTATGTAGATTATCCGTGCACTCCTAATACATGTCTACTCTGAAATAAGCCACACATCATCACACTAGAGAAAAAAAATGCTATTTCACCCTGTCATCTTCTAATGTTCCATTAGTCCAATGAAGCTGATAATCGGGATGTAATGGGGATAGGGAATGACCAGGATGTAACAGAGATAGGGGTTTATCCCTCCCACCCCAATTGTATGAGTCTTGAACACCTGAAGAAAACTGCAGTGAGGAATTAAAACTTACGTCGTGGCTCACGGGGTCCATCCACAGTTATCTTTATGGCTCTGTGATAGGTTGCGACCTGTGGAGGATTGGTGAAGACTGTGATGGTCAAAGTGAAGCTCTTCCCTGAAACAGAAAACAACATTTGCTTTTATATCCAACTACAACTTCACAGCTTTTAACTTCAGAGCAAGGAGACATGAAAATTAGTGGAAGGAGAATCAACAATTTACAATAAGTAGCTTCTGACTTATGGCAACCCTAAGGAAAACTTACCACGAGACCTTCTTGACAAGATTTCATCAGAAGGCATCTGAGACTGGGGGAGTGTCATTTGCTCATAGTCACATAAAGAGTTCCTATGCCTGAATAGGAATTCAATCCCCTGGTCTTCAGAGTCATAATGCAAAGCTCAAACCGTGCTGGCTTTTCATACTACTGTTACTAACAGAAAATAGCAAAAACTTAATATGACTACCAAAAGAAAATCCAAAGGCAGGGTTATAGCTGAACATCAAGAAGACAAAAATAATTGCTACATATCAAAATTAGAATTGTCCATACTATTATATTTCTAATATCTATTTATGATTCTAAAAGGTGGACAGTGAAGAACGCTGCTAGAAAGATAATAAATTAATCAAAAATGGGGTCCTGGTGGAGATTTCTGCAAATCCCATGGGATGCCAAAAAGACCAATAAATGGCTACTAGACTAGAAACACAACAACAAGAAGTGGAAATCAAGAAATATTTAACTAGCTGTTTAAACAAATCCCATTCCTCCCACACCAAGAGCAGTGAGGTACAGGAGAAGAAAAAGGCAATTTAACGCATAATGCCTGTTTCTTTCTTTGTGTTTTGTTTTGTACTTTTCTTTTATTAGCTCTACTGAGTAATTCCTTGGTACAGTAAAAATAACAACTGAATGTAAAAAAATTAATATACAAGATAATGTTAAGATATGAAACAATACAAAGAACCAATTTCTAGGTTGATAGGTGCATATTTGTAGCTATGATGCAATACACAAAAACCAGAAAAACCCATGGGTTACCTTTTTCATGTTTACCAAAGAGTACTCATTAACCACATGATGGATAAACCACAAGACCACAAAGAGTCACACACCTGTATAGCACTTGTTTCTTACTGATAATCCCATATAATATTTTATTTTTAGACTTTAATTGACTGACTAATGTTACCACATAGTTAATCAATGTGTAGAATTGACTGCATTGATAACTTGCGTTACTAGAGTCCAAGCAGAAATATACATATGACTGAAATGTGTTTGTGCACATACATACAGCATCAACCACCACCAACAACCACCACCATCAAATAAACAAACAACAATAGGACTTTGGAGTGAAATATTTGTGTCAGGCAAATAAAGCCAAAGACTGGGATTTAAATCTCCACTTAGCCATGAAAGCCCACTGAGTGATCCTGGGCAAGTCACACATTCTCAGCCAGAGAAAGCCCTATGATGAGGTCATCTTAGTGTCACCATATGTCAGAAACTACTTGAAGGCATACAACAACAATTCAGCATGGCAAAGGGTAGAGTTCTATGCCTCTTGTGTGCTCCTGTTGTGTCTTCATTGCCACTGCTTCCCCATCCCAATTTTGTCCCTGGAGCTCTAGGGAAATTGGCACCCAAACTATTTTCGTCAGTGATAGTTTGGGACAAAATGATCCCCCGCTCTCCAGGATTAGGTTAAACATCTCTATGACAGAAGCATGGCAATATGACAGAAATGTGGCTATCCTGATATGATGGCAGAGCAATTTGGTATTGTAGAAGATGACATCTCACTAAAGTCTGATGAGGACCATTACATTTCTCTATCTTTGCTGAAAGACAAGATGGCAACCACCCATCCTCATTCCAAATACAGAAAATGACTAGACTGGCAATGGATACTGGTAGCAGCAACCCAACCACTACACCTAAGGACAGCAAACTAATGCAGACAAAGGTCAGGCTAGGTGTCACTTGCAACTCTGCTAGATAATACCTAAAATACCTAAATATCATTTCATACCACTTAGCACCTGCCATTTTTGTCAGCTACTCTTTCTAAAGGTACTCTGGTGGCACAGATGGGGCCTTCTCTGTTGCGACACCTGGGTTGAATATCTTCTTCTCAGAGGCCAAATTGGTACCATTGCTGATGTCCTTCCAAATTTAAATGTGGCCTTTATTAATGCCTTCAGAGACTAATAGATTTTGTCCAGCTTGCACATGTGCTATGGTTAGCATTATTTTAAATTATTGTAACTGGTTTTAAACTGTCTGGTTTTAAGTAACAAATGATTTAATATAACTTTTTAAATTATTGTTGCAGATGTTTTTACTAAACTGATTTTACTGGACGCCATCCTGAGGTCCTCAAATATAGAGCAAGATATAAATATTTAAATAAAAAATAAATGCATAATTGTACAGGTGGTTTGGAATCTGCTTTCCTGAGAGACTTTGCTTTATCCCATGAGTCAATATTCTCTCTCGATTTAGCAAGGATGAGGGTCATGTAGCCCACAAGTTGACGTTGCAATGAAAATTCCGATAGAGCTAGCCAGCTCAGCCAATGGTCAGGGATGATCTGAGTTACCAGTGAACAACAGTGGTTAGCCCATACCTTAGGTATCCTGGTTGAAGGCAACAGAAAAGAAACATTCCAGAACTGGAACTAGCCATTATGGAGGATATGTTGCCTTGCATGACTTGCTCCCATTGTCTTTTCTAATGTCAAGTAATACTAATGAAAGGAAGCAGAAGTTCTTGTACCACGTTGCATTTGCAGATGTTTGCAGAATTGTGAACATTCAAACCATAATGACATCACTTCCCATTTTTCTATTACTAACTAGATGATATCAGCCGATAGAAGAGAAAGACTATCAAGGACTGTCTTTCTGGGCTGCAGTTACACATTCTCTATAAAATCTAGTTCTGGCCCAAGTTCATCCAGAATATTCGGTGTCTGTCTGACTCATACAATAAGAAAGAAAAATATTCCTTTGGCTTGGTAGGTTAACAACCTGAATTCTAGCCCCCACTGCAACATTACCTCTCTGTCAACTTATTAGTAATGAAAACAAACCAGTTACTTTAAGAATGAGGAAGTGCACGCTGATATAACATTGCTTCCTTTTGTGAGCTGTGAACACATGCAAGGCTGCAGAGTTATATACCAGCAAAGAAACAGAATCTATTCCCTTCCTGCTTATTTGCCTTTTGTCCTTTCAGTCCAATCAGAACAAAATGTATGGCTCTGTAGTTATCCCCCTTGGTTCTCCATCTGAATGTCACCCCCCAGTATTCCTGGGCATTGGCCATGATAACTGGGGCATCTGAGGATTGGTCCAAAATGTGTTTGGATTCAAAAGCTTTAAACGACTGTTTAAGAGGCCCCAATGAAACTTTAGATTTTGTATTCAACAGGATCTTGCTTCACCACCAATCCTGCTTTGTTTTTAAAAAGACAGAACACTCAGCTTTAATACATTCAGGGTTCTCTTTAGTCAGATCTCCATAAAGGCCACATTGTCTGGTAAAATTATGAGTGATCTGTGCCTCATCTGACTCAGTCTCAGAAATCATCATTAGCTAGTCTGCAACTTTGCTGCAGGCTCTCGTCCTTTTATGTAATTTTTTTTTGTTCCCTGCAGCATTACATTGTGAACATCATATGCATAATCCGTACTTCCACATTTTCCCAGACAAACGCCCACTGCTTCTTCAGCTAAGTACTAAACAGTCTTTGCTGATTGTGCAATTCTGGTGCTCTGCAAACTCTGTTTTAAACACTTCTTAAATATTTATACTTTTTGCCCTTTCAGCAACAAAATGGAGTTCATATGAGATGAATTGTGAATGTTGTTTTAAGAATAAAACATACACTCTAGCATGGCAAAGGCCTTCTGAACCAATCTTGCCCAGAATACCCCATGGTAAGTTCACCTTAGGGCTGCCTTAAGTCTGAGATAACTTGAAGGCACACAACAACAATAATAATAGATTTTATTATTGCTAACGCAAGTAAAATATTTTCCCCTTCCCAACTTATTTCTGAATACTTTAAAATATTTAAACATTTCAAAGATGTTTTACTCACAAAAAGTGTTTTTGAACTATAACAGAACAGAAAAAATCCTTGATGTCTCCATTCATTCTAGGAAGGAAAAGTGTAGAAATGGCCATACTGATCATATAGCTAAATCTAATATGAACCCAAATGTGCAAAATACAAAGGTTAACAATCATGTAGGCCAGTGTTTCTCAACCTGTGGGTCCCCAGATGTTTTAATCTTCAACTCCCAGAAATCCTAACAGCTGGTAAACTTGCTGGGATTTGTGGGAGTTGTAGGCCAAAATACCTGGGAACCCATAGGTTGAGAACCACTAATGTGAGTAAAGATGAGTGATGATGTCTGTATCTTGCTACAAGAAGGTGTTTAATTTATGGTGATCTTCATGCAGGGAGAAACCATATCCCTTTGTGGTTATTGAAGGCTAGGAACAAAGTTGCAAAAGAAATGCAACAAAATTTCTTTTTCTATTGGCAGCAACAGAGTACCTCTTCTTGTCAACTGAGCACAGTTCTATTCTCTGTAAGCAGTTTATAGATACATTTAAACTTGTGGCCTTTATACCTCTTAATTTGCAAAAGTTAAACTTGTATTAAATAGGAATCTGACACAGGGTTATTATAATCTATGTTACATTGTGACCAATGTGGAATGTTTGCTCTCTGAAAAATCTGCATGAGATGACTATTCTGTTATGAAATATTTCAAGAATAATTTGTTCATTTGGTTACTTTCTCATTTGAGGCTATTTCAAGGTAGAATTTCATTTCTCCACTGAGGCTGTTTCACTTCTCAGAATCACCGGACCAGCTGTGTCTTCCAAATGTTTGCTTCAAAAGACTCTAAAGTTGCTGTTTCTCCAGTCATTCAGACTGTAGCCAGAGCCAGCCATATCTATAGAGAAGCTGCCTGCATCATTTAAAGAACTTCCCGAAGTTATGAATGTTTAAATACTGCTCTTTCAACCAGAATGCTGTTTTGTATTTTTATATCAAGCCAACATGATGTGGTAGAGCTAGCCCA